TATGTCTATGTCCAACATTTCGTCAGACTTTCAATTCCTGATGTCCAGATTCCGGCGGCTGCGAGCCTAAAAAGGGCGAAATCTCATTTTCCAGTTCGGCCTGATCAGCGAACTTCTTCTCTCGTAGATTTAACATCCGTCCGAAACAAATGGTTGCCAGGCAGGGCTAACTGAGGAGAAAGCTGAGTGCGCGCTAGATCCCAGCCAAGTTAGTCAATTTTTTGGGAATCAAGCTTTGCCACTTGAGGTAAGCCGTAGCAGGTCAGGTAGTGAAGCAACATAACCAGATTCCGCTTCAGGCGAACTGCGGTGAATTAGTTGAGGGGAGGCTTAGGCGGTCCTTGTGTGATTAGAAATTTTAATTTGAGGCTCACAAAATTCTGGATCGAAAAGAAAAATTGGTGCACAACTTTTAGACATAGGGGTATTCTCAAAAATAAATCTAACTAGAGCTGTAGTGAGTTATACTAAATTAACAGATAGTATAAATGTATGGGTTTTATGGAGATTGGCTAACCACAAACCTGTGCTGGAGCAGAACGTTCGCCTTTTCTTGCCTAAAAGAAGAATTAACGATTGAATCTAAGGCTTGATTTCAGTTACTATAATAATATACAGAGAACTGCCGTAGTGCACAAATAGCCTACCTCACTTCTTGGAGTTGATGACTGACGCGATGGAGGTGTACGAGGAGCCGATGGCACAAGCATATTAACGTCCTTGTTTGTAGGTTGAGGAGCTTGCTTTACCTATTACACAAATATTTTTGTTCGAAATGGAACTCAATATACAAACATAACTGGGGAGCTCACAACTCAGTAAACATTTAATATTAAGAAGTATATAATTTGACTTTTGTTTTGTTACCTCTGCGACAGTGATTTGAACATTAAGCAAAGGAAGAGCAGATATATAGTGCCACAAAGTCTCCGTCAAGCCGATTCCTGTAAATATTCAATCGTCCTAAGTTCATGTGAAATGTTCAATAACTCCAATAAATATCCTTAGCAACCAACCTAAATAATCCAGCAGCACTCTGTGACTCTTGAAATAGAGTAGAAGCTTCCTAGCTTCGTTTTCTAAGTGCTTCCCACCTTCCGATCGAACATCAAGCCGTTGAGCCTTCACGAATTCTTCAGAGGCAAATGCAGAATCGGTGGATACCGTAGTGTGCTCGCAATGGTCGCTACTGTCTGAGTGATAGCAAACTTCTATAAAATTTTCAATTTCAAGATTTGCTCGAGAACAACCTTGGCAAAAATCAAAACGTTTCACCTTTTGTTCTTCCTTGTGCA